ACGTTGCAGCTCTCATTTTGACGCGTTCCATGTAGTGTGCCAGGGCGTCCTCCTTTGCGTCGAACGCGCCGTTCAGCTGGTTGACTGCCAAGGAAGAGTCGGAGAGTATCCGTATCGTTCTTGCCCCTAGGTCGTGAGCGGCTGTCATCCCTGCCAAGATGGCCTCGTATTCCGCGGCGTTGTTTGTTTTCAACGCTCGGAACCTGATTGCGATCTCGTGCACCACGCCAGTAGGTGTGCGCACCACGACCCCTGCCCCGGCGCCGTGTTTGCTCGCCGCTCCATCGACGTAGACTTCCCAGACGCCCTCCGGCGTTGTTTCTAGGGTTACCCCCTCTGCAATGAAGTCTGCGAGGATTTGTGCCTTTATCGCTGGCCTTGGCGCGTACTGAATGTCGTACTCCGACAGCTCGACCGCCCATTTGACCATGCGCCCCGACACTTCCATTGATGTCAGAATCTTTTTTAGCGGGAGGTTTGTCAGGACGGTGATCTGGTGCGCTTGGAAGTACGGGCGCAGCTTCTGCGACGCGCTCACGAGCGCCAAGGCAGCCTTCTCGATGGAGGAGTATCTTGTTTCTGCGCTGACAAGAGTGCGCGAGGTGTAATACACCGGTTGCTCGGTTCTGCCGTCTCTTCGAGATATTAGCACTGCACTCACGGCCCTTGTTGACACGGCGAGATACAAGAAAAGTTTTTCATTAAGCTTGGGGGCCGTTAGTACAGGGGGGGATACAAGATACGCCTTTAGCTCTTGGAACGCTGCTTCGCATTCTGGAGTCCATGCGAAGCGCGCCCCGTTCTTGAGCGTTTGGAAGAAGGGCGCGCACTTGTCAGCGGATCGCGGTATGAACCTCCCCAGCGCCGCTATTTTGCCATTCAGAGACTGGATTTCCAGCGCGTTCCGGGGCGCCCGCAGCTGTTGGACTGCGGTGATTTGCTTTGGGTCGACCTCTATGCCGCGCTTGGTTATCATGAACCCGAGGAACTTCCCCGCTTCTGCTCCGAAAACGCACTTGAGCGGGTTGAGGCGAAGGCTGTGTTGACGGAGAGCTTCGAAAGTCTCGCGCAGGTCCTGCAGGTGTGACTTGCCCGCTTTCGTTTTGACGATGAGGTCGTCCACATATGCCTCGATGTTCCGCCCGATCTGTCGCGAGAAGACCGTGTCAATCATTCTCTGATATGTCGCGCCCGCGTTCTTTAACCCGAACGGCATCCCCACAAAGCAGAAGTTCTCAAACGGTGTCATGAACGACGTCTTTTCTTCGTCTTCCACGGACATGGGGATCTGGTGGTACCCGGAGAACATGTCGAGGAAGGATAACGTCTCGTGATCTGCAGTTGCGTCGATCAGTTGGTCGATGCGCGGCAGTGGATAAGGGTCTCCTGGGCACACTCTGTTGATCGTGGTGTAGTCGACGCACATCCGCCAGGCCCCTGATGATTTCTTGACCAATACCACATTTGCCAACCACTTTGGATATTTTACGGGTCGGATTAGCCCGGCTGCTAGTAGGCGCGTCACCTCCTCTTCTATCGCCTTCAGCTTATCGCCCGTGAAGGACCTCCGCCCTTGTTGCCTTGGCTCTGCGTTGGCTGGCACTGCAAGGCTATGTTGGGCTACCTCCCTGGGCACTCCTGGCATGTCTTCCGTGCACCACGCGAACAGTTCCTTGTACTCCTTCAGCAGCGCCACGAGCGGCTCGATTGCGTCACTGCTGACGTGAGTGGAAATGCGTATCTTCCTGGTCGGCTCGGCTGGATCTAGCGCGACCTCAAAATCGGAATCCATCGACTCCGGTCGGGGTTCTTCCGCCCTTGTGTCGACGATGTTGGTTTGTCGAGTCACAACGCGATCTTCCCATGTCGTTCCCCGGGCTTCTCCCACTCCTCTCTGTGTTGGGAACTTGAGTTTCTGGTGGCAGGTTGATGGGAGAGCCAGGAACTTCGCAAGGAATGGCCGGCCTAGAATGCCGTTGTGCGCCGATTCGCAATCGACGATCGTGAATTCTACCTGTTTGGAGGCGCGAGGCTCCTGGTCGCCGACCACCACAGGGAGAGTGACCACTCCAATGACCGGGAATTTAGTTCCAGAGAAGCCAACTAGGTTGCCATGCGCGCGCCTGATTAGGCGCCGGTCGATGTCCATTTTGTCAATGGTACTCTGGAAGAGGATGTCAGCCGCGCTACCTCCGTCTACCAGGAGGCGGTGGGTCTTGCAGGCGGCGATTAGCGCGGTGATAATGAGCGGCTCCACTGATGGGGTTCCTTGTGGGAATTCCGCGTCGTCGAAGCTCAGGTTGAACCTCGCCGGCGCGTCGGTGGTCGCGCACTCCATCGCGCGCTCCCGTTTGGTTTTCTTCTGGGGGCGGTCTCCTTCGACCGTCACCACTCCAATTTCCTTGCGCACTACATATGTGCCTGTGTCATCGTTATATTCGGCTTGGGGTGGTGGCGGCGGCGGGTGCTGTGGGTGCTCAACTTGTTCTTTTTTTACGTGAACAAACTCGCCCAGCAGCCCTCGCTGTATGAGGCCCTCTATGAGGCACTCTTCTGTTCGGTGCCCCGTTGCTCTGTGGAATTCACAATGCCTATTTGGATCGCGCATGTAGGGTTGGGATTTCAACGGGGCAGGCTAGTTGATCTTGTAACCCTTCTCGCGAAGGACATGGAACACATTCCTCATTGAGTCATTAAGGGGAGTGTAGGCGTTATGCGCGCGCCTGTCCGGCGATCGCCCGCGTTGCGCCTGCTCTGGTGGGGGAGGAGGGGCGCGCTTCGGGCCACTGTGCATCTGTAGCAAGTGGTCTCGTGGGATTGCGGCTGGAGGCTGACGACGCGCCTGTTCTTCTCGCGGCATTTTCGCCGGCTCGAAGCGCCTGACGGACCCTGCCCCCAGGGTTTCTTCCAACGTGATCGCCTTTTCGATCTTCATCTCCAACTCCGTCGATAGCGTGACGGGTCTCTTGGCCAACGCCCGCTTGAGCTCCATATTGTTGGTGGCCTCCATGAGGTGATGGGCGGCTGTTTCGGGGGTGAGGTCGCGGACGGCCATTGCTATCCTGGACCATCTGGCATAGAAAGTTCTCAGGCTCTCTCCATCCTTTTGCCTGATATCTATCAGGGCCTTGAGGTGAAGCGGGCGCCGTTTCTGGGACGCGAACTTCGTTGTGAACAGGAGTATGAACTCCTCGAATGAGTGGATGATTCCATTTGAGAGGCGGTTGTACCAGTCGAGGCATATGCCGGTGAATGTCGACGGGAAGGTTCTGCATAGCGCGGCGTTGGAGTTGGTTTGGAGTTGCATACGCAGGCAGAAAGTGCTTACATGGTCTTCCGGGTCGGTCGTGCCGTTGTATGTCGGGAGGGCGGGCGTCGCTCCTGTTAGGTTCTCCGCCATTATCTGTGCGCTCAGCGGCTGGTGAAGGACTCTTTTGGACGGGTTGGGTCGGTACTGCGGAGACAGGTGTTGCTCTAAGAAGCTGAGGTCCGCCCGCTCTGGTGGCTCGATTCCCGGCGCTTCGCACGCGGGGAGTTCCGTCGCCCCGTGTTGGGGTGGCTGGGCTGTCCCCGACGTTTCTCCCAAAGCTTGCTGTGGCGCTACCGCCAAGGTTCGTTGAGGCGCGTCCGCCACCGCACCGGTCGTTGGCGCGCTATCCCTGCTCATCATGAGCGCGATAACTTGGCTCATTTGTTTCTGCATGTCGGCTATGACGTTGTTTTGCTTTCTCACTAGATCCCTCATTTCTTTTGCCGTCAGCTCGGGCTCTTCTTCTTCAATGAGCACGGCGTTGAGGTTGCTGGCTTCCGCGAACGTCCTCGGGTCAGTCATTGCCTTGATTGGTGTTGCTTGGTCAGGTTGGTCGTGGTTGTGCTCTGCCATCGGGGGATTTTCTTTAGCGTTTCTTCTTGGCCCCACGGTGGGCGCCAATTGTTTGAACCTAACTGAGTGTAGGAGTGAGGCTCGAATGAGAGTTTGGGTCAAGAAGAAACACAAGCGTCAAGTTTGATCAGGGAGATAGGAATTAGAGAGTTGAGCGAGGACCGGAGTCCCAACTTTTAGAAAGAGAAGTAATAGTTATAGAGAGAGAATGGTGAAAAATCGATCCCCTCACCCACCGTAGTAAATGCCATATTTATAGGCTTCATGGTGGTGGGTGAGTGGTTGACATAGGGAGAGATACAGTGATGTGACTACTGGGATACAATGATGTGACCAATGATGTGACCACTAGCACACTAAGGTTTTTAGGCCATTCCTCTACCTAGGATGCGTCAGAGATCCACTCATAGCCCTGATGTGACTACTCGCTTGGAAGAGGTGCGCTTCCCTCATCTTCTGGTTTGGCCTACGCTTGTCCTCCCCTAGCGCATGTCATCTCTTCGCGCCGGGACGTGGTTAGCTATGATGAGGCGGCACACTCGGGGTCTTTGCACCGCCGTGTTGGGGTCTTATTCAGTTGCGCCCGGTTCCTTGGCGTGATTAGGCCCGAGTCCTATGCCCAACAGTTACTTCTTCCATCTTCATTAGACTTCCAGTCCTAATTATCATCAACGTTTTATTAGGATTAAGAGGTTCGTATGGAAGAACATTTATTGCTAAATATATAAATTTCAAATGACATGTAAAATCATATAAGAATTTATCTGATGTTAGAGTATGATGTTGTTGTTTCATTCAAACATGTGCTTGTGCTTGCTGCCAAAGGTAGATTGTAAATGCTGCTTATCTTCCCCTTGTCTCCATATCTAAGAGTGACATCTTCCGATTTTTGGAATCCCGATGGAATCGGACTTTTTATGCCTTATTGCTGCCGCTTATAATGTGTTCTGGTTATGCAATTTGTTTAAGTGGTGAATGGTGATGCAACCTAATGACTTGAGAAATTGAACTACGGAAGTATGTTGCAACAATAGCGGTGTAGTTGGCAGAAGTAAAGGTACCGACTATTTCAAATGCAAGAAATTGGCTAGAACAGGTCTTAATGAGAAACCAGCGTTGCTGTTACTTAACGCCTTACAGAAGTCTCTTGGAAAGCGGTTAAAGAACTGATTCTAGGAGAATTGAGTATAACAAGCCAACAGGCACCGAGGACCAAAACCATATCATCCCCATACAAATTCACAGAATACAGTGAGCTTATCCGAAAACTAGTCCCTCCCATTTTTGCCACTCAAATTCACACATGATTCAACTTCTACATTGCTTAATACAAGTCTTCCTACCACAGTGCTGTGCATCCACAACCCACAATATATCATATTTAGCTCTCTATATAAATGTACTAGATTCACGAAACAAAATGCCTATTCTAGAGTACCACCACCACCACCACCACAAACTCACACCCTGGCTCCATACCCCGCCATCCCAACACTGGAACTCGAATGATTCACCTTGTTAGAAGAAGCATGGCCGCCAGGGGCAGTTGTAGCCTTCGAGACATACATGTAATAATAGACGTTGAGGATCATTGTCGCAACTACGAACGCAGCTCCAGCAATAAAAATGCCCTTCCTCAGTGTATCGCATGAGAAGTTTTGAGCCAAGATCATGCCACGATACTTGGTGTGATACGCATTCTGCTTTGCACCAGCAACTAGACATGCTTCTGCAACCAGAAAAGTCAACCTGCAGGATGGAACTGCTAGTCAAATGAATTGCCCTTACTTTAAGAGCGGTTCGTAAACAATTGTTGAGGTTTCTCACCATGAAGAGACGAAATAAATGATGGACCAAGCTCGATCACTACCCGGGGTTAGTGGTCTACCGAAACACATGCAACTTGTCACAACCATCAGTATTGTTTCACTGCAGAGGAGGAATAAAAAAGCACCTACTCCATAGCCAGTTGCAACATCAGACTTGTAGACACAGTATGTTGCATTAGTTGCATCTATTACAATATGCCCCTGCCATACACGGAGAGAAACAAAATTAGACTGCAATGAAAATCAAATGGGCCATACAGAGGCAGCATGAACAAATTGTTAAACTAGTTAAGAGTAAGAAAGACAAACACTATTGGATAGGAACCTTAAGACTGTCAACTCAGCTTCTAACTGAAACAGATAAACAATATAAGAGGCTTGCTTGGTAAGTCCTACATACAAACAACTCCGGAGACATCATTTGAAAATGAATGTTGACTTGAACAAGTTCATTAGACAATTCCCTACGCGTTTACAGAACTTTTAGCAAATATAACTTGAACCAATAGCTTCTAGTTCATCCCTACTCCGAACCCTTGTACCTTTTGGTCCTTTTCTGTCAACTACTAGTACATTAGCCAACAGAAAGATCAGAACAGCATCGACCCAAAGGTTAAGAATATGACTATCATAAAGTTGCTGCATGGGTATAGCATTAAAGGACTGATCGTAAGAAACAAACACTAGTTGCTACTAATCCGCTTTCTAAGCTAGATTGTTTAGTACTTAGACTACCATACAGAGACGTCGTTTGGGTCCATTATGAAGCAATAGAGCAAACAAAGTAGGAGAAAGTAGGGCAAGCAGTTTCGCACAAGGAATAAACCTTAGCAATCCTTCAGCACTTTAGAAGACCCCAAAAATAAAATGGACTCATAAAGTAGTCACGCAATCATAAAGCACAGAAAGATCATTCAATATGAGTTTTGCTTGTACATAAAAAATGGAAAGTAAATCAATCAAATCTAACTCGCTCTAATCATGCTGTTCCTTCAGTTAACAGTATGGTTCACCAAAGCTCTCCCACCTTAAGTAAAGTAGGGACTCGAATCAAATGCTTATGTTCATTAAACTTCCTAACAAAGAGATCAAATTAGCACAGGAAAACGTACCCACTGACTGAATTGGAACTACAATTGGCCAGAGATAACTTATCACTAACTATAATAAACAAAATGACAACAACTTGACTCTTATTAAACAAATTAGATGCTGAATCCCTGTCTCAATTCCTACAGAGATAGCTCCAAAAGGCCGTAACTGCAACATCTTATTCTTACAGGGTAGCCTCTAACATCATAGCTAAGAACTACATTCAAACTACAAAGACTTCACCAAGCTAAAAGCTATCCATTCATAACCCTTTTGTGCAATCACAGGATCCACGCATCCAAACACACCCAAGTTCATAACTTTGCTAATAAACAAGCAGATCTTCATTTATAATCAATACTCTTCTCAGCCAAGCCCTCTCCGCCACCTAATGCACGAAAACAGACTCTCGAAGGCCACACAATTACCCTTGAATAACAGAAGAGGCAAAAGCTAACTACAAAGCAGAAACTACAAGTGAAGCGCAAGCTCAGAAAACCCATATCCAGTGAGCGGAAATAGGTGAAAATGAAAGCATGAGAAGAAGTAAGGAGTTGAAGCAGGGGGACATACGACGCTTCTTCGTCTCTCGGCAGCAACCGCGAAGCCGAAAGCGATGAGGCTGAGAACCACCACCAGAAGGTGAACCAAAGTGGAGCCTCTGCCTTGGCCCATCTGCCTTGCTCTCCTCAAATCTCAGCTTTCTTCTTCGCCCCTGTTTTTTCCGGAGATGGGAGAAGGGTTTCTTCGATTTCTTTTGGCTGCTTGCGACTGACTGGTGACTGGTGAGTGAGATGGAGTAGAAGCAGAATGCAGTGAAAAGGAGAGTGCAAAAGTGTGAACTGTGTAGGTAAAGGACTTGCTCTGTGTTAGTGTTGTGGTATATGATCCACGATTGAACCTCTCCCAACAACTCGAGTTATTGGGATCAACTGGTTCTTGACATGGTATCAGAGCCTAGAACCAAAAGGTCATGTGTTCGAATCTCCACGACCCCCAATATTAACTGTTGTCTTTCAAGCACATGGTATTCTTGTCTTCAAACCTGTGCAAACTTCAAGCCCTTGTGAGAGGCTTTCGTTTGAGGTTCAATCGTGGATCATATACCACAACACTAACACTCTGTACGCGGTCAGTGGAAAGGTCAAAAAATAATTGTAAAGCATCTATTTTTTAAATTTAAACAAAAACTCTTGTTCCCCTCCTTTTTAATATATTTTTTAGTTTTCTCTCCCGATAAGAAAAAGAAGAGAGGATGTAACCGGAAGATTTTTAAGTCTAACCTTGATTCAATGGGGCGGGTCGAAATAGATGTTTCAATATTCATGTCACACCTCACGTTCATTGGCGGAGCCATGTTGTTGAATGTGGGGTCAATGGACCTTCAAAGGAGGAGAATGGGAATTGAACTTTGGACCCCATGCTTCAAACTCAACACCTGTACCTTTAAGCCATAAGCATTATTTGATTAATAATTGGACCCCACAATACTAATTTCCTGGCTACGCCAATGCTCACGTTACTGCGGATCTGGTCGAAGCGGGTAATACTTGTGTGGATATGGTGCAAAATGGGTCGATCTACTCTTACATATTATATAAAAAATATACACGTAAAATTTTATTTTATTATGAGAAATGAAGAGAAAAAACATTATAAATGAAAAATTGTGATAATAGAACGAATGCTTAAGTCTAAATAGTTGAAAGGTAAGGTCGAGTCTAACTAGTTGAAAAAAGTCAAAATATGATAAGTATGAATGAATATTGTAAAAAATTGAGATAAAATAGGCCCAGAACAAGGCGGGGGTGGAGCAGAACATATCAGAAGTAGATACATATGCCCCACGCTAGTGCAAGTCAGATAATATCAGCTCATCGCAGATCAGATTGGGTAAACTGAGTGTGCGGGTTGAAATTGCCAGTGAAAGCATCTCCTTCAACGAGCCACACGACCTTATTGGTGGATTTCCTTTGTTTTTCTCAACTTTTAATATTTTTCTCCTTTTCTAGCTAAACCAAAATAGGGGAAAGGGTTATTAACCGTGGGGTATATTTATTTGTAAGTAAGCCTTTATTATAAGGTGATAATGAAAATTTAGTTTTTCCAAATGATTTTGCAACAAACAAAGTAGCTGACGATTTTCTTTTACCAAACCGTGAAAATAATTCATTCATGAATAGCGACGGATCTAGGGCTGGCCAGACCGAGGTTGGATTCAGAATTAGTATAGTGGTTATAAAATTTTCGATTATAGGTATTCGACCCACTGTTATTTAAATTTCGGTTCAATGTTATTTGATAATATAATTTTGTGTAACCGAAAAAATGGTTCAGATAAACATATCCAAACCATTACTCTAAATTTAGACTAAAAATTTCTAGCCACAATTATTTTTATTTGAAAAAAATATTAAAACCTAAGTTTAAAAATTTAAAGTTTTATCCAAATAAAAAACCCCTCTAAACTAAAACTCACCCTTCCATGCAAAACTCAAAAAGTTTCTCCAATCCAACACCCCCCCCCCCCTAAAAAAAACAAAAAACAAAACAAGAACAAGGACACGAACGTACGCGAAATAGATTCCTCCGCCACTCCCTCGGACGCTGATTTTCTGTTCGTTCTTTTGATGAAAAAAATATTTACAAACTTACTCAAGAGTTGTCTTGGGGCTTTGAAAGCTATGAGATGCATTCTTTCGAGCATGAGTTACAATATTATGCCACTTGTGTGAGGAAGATGAAGTTTCTTCCCTTTGAAAAATTAATAGAGAAGCTGGCGGAAACAAGGATTGACGCACTATATAAATTGATTTGTCGATTGATTCATCTAGTATTGACCTTGCATGTTCCAACGACTACTATGAATAGAACTTTTTTAGCAATGGTTATGAAACTGATTTGCGCACAAAATAAGCAATGAATTTCTTGTTGATTGCTTGTCTATTTTCTTTGAGAGAGAGTATGCTATTAGTATAGATGGAGATTCTATTATTGATGGACTCGCTAGATTAAAAGACCTTCTTGTAGAATTGACATTGTAATGACTACTATAGTTATACTTTTGTTTACGATATCTAATATTATATTCAAATGCAGCCCAGTACGCTACTATGTTCTGGATCCTCCATTGTTCACGAACCAAATATCTAATTATAATTATGCGAATTATATATATTCGTACATTACTCAATCTTGATTGGGCAAGTATATACATAAGATAATAATGAAGAAACACTCTAAATGAAGAAAAAACCTCCATTTCAAAATTTTATATTGCCCCATTATATTGTTTGGTTTCTAATACCAAGTATTAACGAAGTGTCAGGTATTTAAGACATTTATTCATTTGTCTTTATTTTTCAACGAGGAAAGGGACCGGGGGAAACAAAAGATAAGTGAGAGTGAGAGACCCATACAAATCGTCAAACCAGAGAGAAAAATGACACAATAATTAAATAAAGAAAAAAAATACACAAAGAAGAAAGGAACCCATTCGACTTTCTGACCTCCTAAATCGCAGCTTAAAACTTTGGACACTACTAAGCACATGATCAATACGATTCATCGAGCATATAAAATTATAAGAAGAAAGGAACCCATTCGACTTTCTGACCTCCTAAATCATAGATGAGTTTATGTTCACTTCTCATAATTCCTTCACCCGGGATGATGGGCAGGGTCTTTGAGCCGTACAAGGCAAACAAAACAGATCGAGCAGTCTCCCTACGCAATTGGCAACAGAGAAATGTAAACGTGTGCCGTAACTCAGCACTGAAGCTGAGAATCTCTCAATCGCGACCGCAGCCTACCCTAGGCCCATAAATTATGGGCCAGAAAACGCCAATCAAATTGGGCCCACCCTCAGCAAGCATACGGTTGAGTTTGATTTGAGCCCTCCCCCTCTATCCTCTCTATATAAACTTGTACTTGTCATCTCTCATTTCTTGCTTCTCCAACAAAAAAAGAACAAGCTCATCCAGCGCAACCAACCCACTGCCGCCTTGAAGAAGACAACGGCAGCCGGCCACCACCACTGCCTGATTCCGGCGACAGCTGAAAACAGGTAAGTGAAACCTAACCCTTCTTGATAGAGAACGTCGTCGTCGTCGTTGTAGTCCTTCAAAACGAACCGTCGTGCCGACAACGGTAAGTGGGCCTGGAACGGGAATCTGGGCTTCGCCCGGTTGCCAAATTTGAAAAAAGAGAGCGTAAATAAACGCTCCACGTCATAAAGGAGTTTGTTAGGGGAACATATGGGAAGGAATGACGTACGTAACCTGTTTTTTTAATTGACTGCATGAAAAAGTTGAGGTGTCAATTTGTGGATGAATGAAACTTGATTCGGCCGTTTACCCATCTCATCTCTAATGATGTACGTGTATAGTTTCTGTTGCGCTACCAAATTGATCATGGCGTCGTCGGATCCTAACCCAGACAAGAAACAATTAAGTGGTAAGCAAGCAAGCAAGGCTTTTTTATTGGTTCCTTGAATAATTAACGTTAATCCTTAACTGACTGTGGAGGAGATTAAGTAAACGGGTGCTATTAATCAGCAGGTGATGGAAAATTTGCGGCGAACGATGAGCAAAACGTGCTGCAGAAGCATGTCATGTTCTTCGACAGGAACCACGATGGAATCATATATCCTTGGGAGACCTTCCAAGGTACGTACCTACCTTTATATTCATCCAGATTCATATTCTTGATTAGCCTTGCAAGTAACTTTATCTTTACCCAGATTCTATTATTCATTCGTTCATTCATTTCCAAGTCTGTTGTTTACATCGTGGTGATCAACAGGATTTCGGGCCATTGGGTGTGGTTTCTTACTATCGGCAGCAGCCGCCATTTTCATCAACCTTGGTCTTAGCAGCAAGACTCGCCCGGTATGTACATTCTAGATTCTCTCTCTCGGTTTCTCTCTCTAGCTTTCACTACGTACGTACGTACTTTCCGCGTCATTCTTTAATGCGTTAGGTGTTAGTTGACGGACAGAAAGATAGATAGAGATACTTGACGTACCTTAATGAGTGGACTCATGTAATTATTCTGTCAAAACCTTTCTTGCTGGTTTCAGCATTAGCTTTAATTTGCCTTTTTTTTTCTTCATAATTAGGGATGATATAATAAAAATATCCGTAATCGTGGATATCCACCCGAATCCGGCCTAATCGGGTAGGGTAAAACCCAAACTCGAAGGACATTTAGTGGGTATGGGTAAAACCCGAACTCGAATATTGTGGGTAATGGGTGGGCATAGGTTTCTAACTATCCAACCCGAACCCGCCCGATTATACGCATGCATATGTATTTTCTCTAGAAATAATTATTATTTTTCTCTAACATATTTTATATTTAACATATAAATATAATATTTTCATGAAATTGTGTTGTTTTAGTTAATTTTCTTCATTCTAGTGAACTATTGTCGTACTTTTCCTCTTACGTAATGTGAGAATACGTGTGAATGTTAACATATTGGTTGGAGTTATGAAGAGAAATTATTATCCATGGATAACCGTGGATACCCGAAACCCGAACGGGTATGGACATGATTTTAATTTCCTACCCGTTTCACATGTGGGTATGGGTATGGGTAAAACCCGAACTACTTTGGGTAGGGTAATGGATATGCACTATCCGTCCCCGACCCGACCCATTGCCATCCCTATTCATAAGTGGTACATTATGGAAAGGGCAAAATTCATCTGTATAGCCAAAACTTTTACGCTTGTGACAATAATAGTCACTTTTGACGAAATACCAAATATAGTCAGAATTTTGAAAGTTTCATTACAAATATAGCCATTTCCGTTACATATTTTAACGGCGTCAGTGACACCGTTAGTCAACTTAACGAAATACTTACATGGCTGCCAACTCACCAGACACATCATCGACAACTCAACAACAATTGCCACATGGATACAATGTCATGTTTTAATTTAAAATTAAATAAAAAATCATAAATTATTGTTCTCATCCTCTCTCCTCTTTCACCACTCGATGTTGTCGCCGTCCTTTCTCCTCTTACAACATCGTCGTCGTCTTCTGCAACAGGTCGTCGGCAATGAGGAACCAAAGATCGATTTAGCGGGCGAAATCAGGGGAACGATCACGAATGACACCACCGCCGTCGAGCAAATAGTGGTGAGCGATTGGAAGCCTTCTATTGTTCTGGGCAGCGCCGTGTCCTGCTCGGGGTCGATATCGGATACACCAACAAAGCTATACCTCTCCGACGAAAGAGGTGGCTGCGTCGAGGGAGCTCGAATCGCCGATTCTGGAGGGAGAGAGCGCGCGATGGAAAATGGCAGCCAGATCCATCCCTTCTCCTTTTTCTTTTCTCAGGCGGCCAGATCCATCCCTTTATATCCCATCGGGCAGAGACGGAGGAGTTACGGAGAGAGAGATGGTGAAGATGGCGCAACGGCAGATTCGATGATTGCATGGTGGCGCCGAGGAAGCGGAAGGGAACTGAGAAATTAGGGATTTGATTCTCCAGTTCCGTTACAGGGGACGCATCATCGAAAACAACCACATATGCACTTCTGAATAATGAAATCTCTTCTGGGACAAGGAGAGGTTAACCGGGGACAGAGCCGGAATTCCTTTTCCCCTTTCATTTGCTTTGTTAATTTTAGAGAAACATAAACCCAGAAGTCGATGGAGAAGATAGGATTTTTTTTACTTTTCCTTGACCCCCTTTCATTATTTATTTCTTTTTGTTTTTTAATTAAATCCCCGTGGAAAGTTAATTGACTAAGTGTTGCCACCTCAACCGTTATCGTTTGTCCAGTCAGCATATAACATAACACCATCAAAGAATTGGACGGAAGTGACTATTTTTGGTATTTTGTCAAAAGTGGCTATGTTTGGCCAAACCGTCAAAGTTTTGGCTATACAGGTGTATTTTGCCTATTGAAAGTGAGAGAAATGAAGTTGGAAAGTGGCACATGATTGAATGGTTATCACTACTTTTTTTCTTATGATATAAAATCCTTAAAGAGCCATGCATAATGTTATGGCACAATTCAAGTATCACATCGGTAATACAAGGAAAGGAACCCTTGTATATTAGTGTTCACCAAGTCCAATTAGTACAAGGCCTTTTGGGGAGAACACCCAAAAGTAAAACCGTGCAGGTTTGGCCCAAAGCAGACAATATCGTACTAATTGAGCACTCCAGACAACAACCGAAAAGGCCTCGTACTAATGAGCTTGGTGGACATTAATATACAAGGGTCCCTTCCCTTGTATTACCAATGTGGTACTTGGATTGTCCCATAACAATCCTCCCCTGTCCACTCAAGACAAGGACCAAACAGACGCAGATCGCAAATCTCGAGGTCACCGAACAAGGGTCCCACCAAACTGATGTCCACCGCCCTGGAACTGAACCAGACTCTGATACCACTTGTTATAACTGGGCTGCTCAATTAGTATGATATTGTCTGCTTTGGGCAAAGCCCGCACGATTTTACTCTTGGATTTCCTCCCCAAAAGGTCTCGTACTAATGAGTTTGGTAGACATTATACAAGAGTCTCTCTCTTGTATTACCGATGTTGTACTTGGATTGTCCCATAACACATCATAATCATTTATTTAAAGCATGAGAACCCTATTATTGATAATCGTAATGTGTACGTACTAAAGCACAGATCGAGTATCCAAGAAAACAATTAGATCTAATTATTATTTAATTAATAGCTAATTCTCATTATTAAAAAATTACTATTTCTTACTCCAATGAATTATCGGGGTTGTTTGGACGAGTTATTATGATGGGACAAAATAATTCACTTATAACACAATGCACTGATAGGTTAATTTGACTAATAATATTATTTGAAAATAACTAAATTTAAATAGTATTATTTAAAAGTAACTAAAAAATAATTTATTCTCAATAACTCATACCCTCACTATTTCTAAATAACTCATTGACTAGTCCTGTCACTTTTTTTTTTCCTTTTATGATATTAAATAGGTTTAATACACTTGTATATCCAAAATTTTCACGGTTGTACTAATAATATCCAAATTTTCCGGAATGCCACTTATATCCATGTTTTAAAGTTGTTCTTTGCCAAATCTATCCATTTCCCAATATATTTTTGGTTAAATACACTTGTATATCCAAAATCACCGTTAAAGAATGTGAAGGAATTGGATATAAGTGGTATTTCGGAAAATTTGGATATTATTGGCATAACCGTGAAAGTTTTGTATATACAAGTGTATTTAACCTATTAAATAATACCTACAAATATCTCACAAATTTTCTCCTTCCAAACAAGACATTTCTACACCCCCAAATGTATCAAATAGAACTTAAATACCTCATTTGAAATTTATGAATTATTTGTAGACAAATACCACACCACAATCAATAACTCATCCAAACAAAACTATGCAAGTAAATTACAAGCTAAGCTAATTGGTATATATATAATCTAGGGTAACTGGCCGGGCCGGGTTTAATATTGGTCCATGACTGATGCAGGGGAGATTTCCATCTCTGTTGCTCCCTATTGAGATTAGGAACATCCAAAGAGGTAAACATGGGAGCGACTCTGGTGCCTACGACTCCCAAGGAAGGTAATTTCATATACACGGTGAAAAATATAAATTGACAGCATGCATGGGATCGTCCTTCCTTCCTTTTGAACGTTCGATCAATGATTATAGCTATATCTATGTTCTTTACTGACTCCATGATTGAAGGTTCGTGCCTGCAAAGTTCGAAGAAATATTCTCGAAGCATGCACGATCACATCCAGATGCCTTGACATCGGACGAACTTGGGGAGATGCTGAAGCAGAACCGAGAACCTAAAAACTATGCTGGATGGTAAATTAACTTCCATTATATTCCTCGTTGCCTCTAGCTGATGAGGTTCATCGCATGCAGTTGTATAATAATATGAATGGGATGTAATATATGTTGCAGGTTGGGTAGTTATTCGGAATGGAAGATACTGTTCCTTCTGGGCAAGGACGAGAACGGGTTGCTGCAGAAAGACACAGTGAGATCTGTCTACGATGGAAGCCTCTTTGAACGTATGGAGAAAGAGAGGCAATCATCATCCAAAAACAAGCCCTAACAATAACTTCACTAACTCTCTTCCCACTCCACATGTGTATCATAATTGTTCAATGTTTATGTAATACGTTTCTGTCTGTAAGGTGGTGGAACTGGTCGCTGGTGGTGTTAATAAAATCGATTGTGGTTTGAACATACGTCAAAAATTTCGAAGCTCCCTCTCTGAGTGGTTCACGGACCAATTCTTGGTCGTGCAACACTTAGCTCTCAAGTCTCGTTAAAGTGCTAAGTCAGCTTTGTTCGTATTCACTCAAACTCACAAGTGTTGGAAAAACTCTATAGATGGAAATCTCTCTATTTCTGGATGAATGACAAATGAGGGAGAGTGCTGCTTATATAGGCATCCTCTCCACTAAGTATAATGTATGTGACCGTCATAAATGAACGAACCTAGAAGTCCCCCCATACATGAACTTGCCCCCAGACATGAATAAAATCAAATAAGGTGAATGCATGAGCACTCATACATGAATCGAAATAAATAGGGAGGATGCATGTGCATGAGTGCATGAATCTAGAGATACATGCATGCACCTACATCCTTCTAGAGCATTCTAGAATTTTCCCGTGACATACTCCCCCCACCAAATTCACGACGCCCTAGTCGTGGCACCTTCTTCGCATCGGCAACATTGTTGGTGCGGTAAAGATGTGCTCCATGGAGAGGCAAGGGTGGCCCTAGCCCTTGCACAAGTTCCACTCCTCCAAGATGTCGTGCGCTCCTCGCCCTCGCTGTCTTGTGACGAGACCATGAGCACCTCGTCCATCGCATCTTAGGTCTAACCTTTGTTACCTTGGCTTGTTTTTTCATGCAAGCCTTAAAAGCATCGAGTGCCTCTTCCATTAGTGGCACCACCCACGTCTTTCCTATCCTCTTTTCGTGCGGAATGCCAAGCCTCCACACTTTGCCCGCAACGAGAAGGTCTTCACAAGCCTTACCCCATATCAAGGCTTTTGTTGTCCCTTTGTAGAGCCATGCTCCATCGAAGCATCGAACACCATCGGCATGAGGAGGGTATTCTATCTCCTTTGTTGTTTCCGACTCCCCTTGATCGACCACGTTAGAAGGATGGATCTCCCCAACTTGAGCCTCCTCCTCTTCGCTTGTCGAGTGCTCGACTACAAACATGGAGGATAACTTCCGTGTTGGACAATCTCTTTCACGATGTGGCTCATCACAAAGAAAACAAGGTGAAGGAACCAACCATCTTTGCTTACCTTTGTAACCACATGTGCTCTCATCCATAAATGAGTGTTGCCCGTAGCTCCCAACACTGTAGTTGTCAGGCGCACCAAACTCTTCCGACACAACATCGCTTCCGGATGCCTCTTGCTCCTTAGGCTTAAAAGCATCGGTCTTAAACGCACCACACATGCTAGGTTGTGCTAAGGACGCACCAAACTCTTCTGTATCCCTCGTTGGGAGAATCATCTCTCCCTTGAGCTCCGTAACCTCCTTTTGCATGCTCTCAAATTTGGCCACTAGTGTCTCCTTGAATGACTAGGCCCATCTTTCCACAAGTTCATAAAAAGAGACGTGTCCCTCTTGTCCTTGCTCATACGCTCGTCACCACGAACGGATCCAGAATCCATCTCATAGAATTTATTCTTTACTTGATGAGTCACGAACCGGGCTCTGATACCACTTGTCACGGACATAGACTTCCGAAGTCCGTGCGACGTCTTGAGGTGCACTCCTTCCTCAAGACCAGCCTTTCTACATACGCATGCCAACGGGTTTCTCCCTGCCTTGGGCTCATCAGGGAGACGGCTATAGCCTCCAACCAGTTGTGCCTTCTCTTGCAACGATCCCCTTCATAGCCACATCCTGATTCGGCAAGAAACGATGCACAGGCAGACAACGCCTTATTGCTAATGTCGCCCCCTTTACCCCTCTTGTGGCAAGGCAACCAGATGGCAGCGTTCTTCAGATGATCAACACGATCACGACATTTCGGGTCGTGACATTCTCCACCACTCATAATGCAGCACGCCCTCGTGCTGGTGAAGAATGCTTCTCTCCGCAGCATGTATTGCAACACTCGAACCGATTATGGGGGTCCGCATACGATACCATCCTCTGATGGACAGGCTCCGGTCGCGTCTCTCACTCTAGCCTGCTGTGCCCCGCGCACATACCGCTTCGCCCCTCGACATCAACCTTCACTCTTTGCTTCTGCTGCGCTAGTACCTCAGTCGACCTTCACCCTACGCTACTCCCAGCATTTGTACCTCAATCGACCTTCACCCTACGCTCTCGCTAGCGTTTGTTCCTCGGTTGAACAACATTCTCGGCCGCTGCATCTTCAGCCTGTCGAGGTCCCCCACAACGGCGAACACATGTCTATCTGCGTCCGGATCGCCTGATATGCAAAGAAAATGCGACAAATGAAGGGGATGGCAAAGAAAATGGATAAAATGGAGAACTTCATTGTTCAGAATTTTCCATGACAAAATTTTGAAAGCGAAAGTGATGATGAAAACTCACAGGTAAACATTTCTCTATTTCTCAAAGAAGATGGATATATAATGTAGAGAGTATAACTAGCTAATTACTATTTTTTGCGCTTGAACTCTCGCTGCCACGTAACCTCCCCATGTGTCATCCTATCATCCCTCTCTTGCAAACATTCATACTCTGTTTTTGTGGTAGGAAAATTAATTGAGGAAGTTAATAGACAGAGAAACAAACAGACAAATAGGTACGAGATTGATGATTTGTGGGTTTGTGCTGGGGGACGCACATATAAGGAAACACGAAGACAAACACAAAAAACTCAACTAAATTAGCCATTCTAAGCCTTTCATAATGACCTAAAAATCACCGACAACAATACCAATAACTTGATGAGTGTTTTAATTAAGTAGATCGAATCACACACTCCTCCACCTAGCAAGACAAGCAAACCCAAAATAGGTTCGTAGTATAGTGGCTTAATTCGTATACCATGAGGACCTTTAGATCTGTCACAACTAAACTTCAATTTGTTATTAGGTCAACCAAGGTTTATGTGTTAACAAACTAACTGAACTAACCTAAACTATAAAATAAAGAAACTAAGGTAAGGGAGGATCATAATATAAGAGCAGTTGTTGGATATATTTAAACCTACCTTTCAATGCTTGCCAAGGATTATAGTCATTAAAAAAATTGCATTGATTCATTTATCACTCCATGAAAAATCTCTACATTGAACTCCTAATTTGCTTGTGTTCAATTAGAGCTCCTATCGACTAATAAGTAGAGAAACTCGAGGTCTCGCCATCCCAACTAATGTAGCGAAGCATTCAAGATTTGCTTACACTACTGAACCTACCTCACTATCCACTAATGAGATAGCCACGCTATGAAAGGATCATGAAGTACTTGGTCAAGCCATCCATCAAATCATTTCTAAATTGACCCAAAACCTTATAGATTGGGGATTGCTCATCTTGGATCTTTAAAACCTAAATGCAACAAACTTGGATCCAAAATTCATGCAATTACTTGACAAACATAGAATATGAAAAGTTCATGTAGTGCTAGCTTTAGCCACCCATCCACTCCTCTCACATCTATGGTGGCAAAACAACAAAAATTGGGGGGATAACTCATCTTCAAGTTACTGATACTAACTTGAGCGTCAGATGATACCTCTGGTAGGCTTTTTATAGGTAACCCAATGAAGGACGCCATGTGGAGTGGAAATGGCTTTAGAGAGGGAGGGAACAGAGAAAGAAGAACCGAAGAGGAGGGAGATTGGGTCAGGTTATGTCGATCAAGAGGGTTTGGTTGTGTTGATTTGTTGAGTTTGTGTTATCTGACATGGTCTGTTTCGTATTAAATTTGGTCGATGCGGCATGCTAATATTGCTAGCTAATGTGGATGCAAAAATGAATGGGGATTGACCAAAATATTAATTAGTTAGTATGTTTGTGACTGATTTGTTACATTTTCTAACATGAGCAATCGATTTGTTAGTAACCTGATTTAACACAAGTGAAATATGTATAATTGGACTTATCTTTTTCCCATGTTCACAGCTGCACAACCACTCATCGACTGTTCCATCAAATCAAATCTACGAGAAAACTTACAAATCAACCAAACGCAATCTAGGTGCCACCAAAACCAATAAGCTTCCTCAGCTAATTGGGCCAGCTGTTACCACCCAATGATTCTCTAATAATTAATAAAAGAGCAGGCCAGCTTTTGGCAATGGAAAATTTCGATGACTTCCCCTACCCAAGATTTGATAAGAACAAATTATGGAAGTCAAATATATTAGTAGTCGTTATTTGTTTCCTGAATCAAAGACATGATTAAATAATTGCTCTTAAGTAACAGTGAGTTCATAATGAGCCAAATCCCAATATACTTAGATTAAATACATCACACTTTTTAACTCAACAGTCAACACCATATTCTTATCGCAAGAACAACTTCGCAATGATTCTTCAATGCTTCTTGTACCACTCTCATACACTGATTACTTTAATTATGATACCCGAGAACAAATGAAATGTCACTTAAATGGGATTTTAATCAAGTAAGATTCTGATGAAAGTGACATTAGAAGACAAAGCGTCTTATTCATGATGATACCCCTACTTTTCCAATCAGATACCAGGTTTTAGCAAAGAGACGTGAGATTGATAGATAGTACAGTAGCACAACAGTCGATACATTCTATGTCGACAGGGGTATATGCGGCTAGCTGTGGAGGAGTTCTAGCCAATTTTAGTCTTTTACGCTCAAAACAATTAATGACAACAATTGGCATGAAAGTCCTAGCTAGGTGTGAATTGATCAGGTCCCGGTTGAATTTGATACAATCCAATTTTGAACTGGTCCGGTCCCAATTCAGTCTTGATTTTAGATTGAGTTTGTGGAAATTTGAGTGGCCTAAGGCTTGAAAGGGCGAGGAGGTTAAATTTTGGGTAGATGTGGTAATTCTCAATCCAATCCACCAACCCATTAAAAATATCCACCAAATCCAATCCATTTGATCCAAATCCAATTGGATTGGTGCATTCATGGATTGATCTATGGATTCAAATGGTAAATTACGGTTTGATACCTATACTTTTTATATTTTACATTTTGGTACCCAAAATTTAATTTTTTATACGAAAAATATCATT